GGCGGCGGGGCGCGGGGCGGTGGCCGGGCCCTCGCCGCGGGGCAGGACGGAGCGGGCCGCCCGGCGGAACTCCTCGCTGCGCCACGTGTAGAGCAGCGGGTTGAGGGCCGAGAGCGAGCAGAGCAGCAGCCAGCTGGCGGCCTGCAGCGCCGGCGGCGCCGGGCGCAGGAAGAAACCCAGGAGGCTCACCCAGACCAGGGGCTGGGTGCCCAGCAGGAACACGCAGCAGAGCAGCAGGACGGAGACGCTGCTGAGGCGGCGCTGGGCGCGGCGAGGCGGCGGCGGCGCGGCGGGGAAGGGCAGCTGGTGCAGCAGGTGGAAGTTGAGGACGCTGACCCGCTTGGCGCTGCCCCGCACCCGCCGCACGATGCCGAGGTAGCAGTGCAGCAGCAGCGCGGTCTGGGCCAGCACGGCCAGTGCGAGGAGCAGGGCGGTGTAGCGAGAGCTGCCGTCCGACTGGGCAGAGCCCAGGGTCCAGAGCCCCGGCAGCAGCGGGACCGGGAGCAGAGCGAGGGCCCAGGAGAGCCCGATCATGCAGCCCGTGTGTCTCCGCTGGTAGAGGGCCTGGTACACGCTGGGCAGCTTGGTGATGAGCACGTACCTGTTGAAAGCCACCAGCAGGTGCGAGGCCAGGGAGACGGTGAGGCCGAGGCCCAGGAGCCCCCCTCTGAGCAGCCGGTACTCCGCCGAGCGAAGGGAGGAAGAATTGGGGGGCAGCAGCCCCAGCACAGCCTCCTGGGGCATCCACAGGGCACACACGCTCAGGTCTGCCGCACAGCCGTTCACGATGAAGGCATTGCTGGTTGTCTGCAGCTTCTTGAAGGAGAAGACTAAATAGATGACCATCACATTGGATAAAGTTCCTGAGATAGCTAAGACTGCGTAGAGCAGCGACAGAAAGATGCGGGTCCCGGAGGAGTCCTCCCAGAGCAGCAGCAGAGGAGAGCTAGCACTCCAGGAAGAGGCGTTGGGCATCTCGCTGAATGCAGCTCAGTTTTGACTTTGCCCTGCAAATCCCATCCTTGTCTGGGCAGAAGTTCTGCTGCAGGAGTCTTCACCAAGCACACGGGAGGATGTGAAGCTGAGGGACTCTTAAGGCAGTTTTCAGTCATACAAGCTGTAAGGTTCAGAAAACGCCGTTTGCAGTAACAATCCAGAGACCAGCACTGTCCAAGGCAGGTAGGCAGCAAGAGATTCCACAGATTGTAGCYGGTGAAGGTGGGTCCATAGGGAGGCAAATGGCTGTTGGCAGACCAGAGCACGACTGAGGTTTCCGTAGCTGTGAAAACAGCAAAAGCAGCAGCACCTTGCAATCGGCAGCAGGAACGGCAGCAACTGATACAAAGCTTGCAGTTTCTCCTGTGCTACAGTACGTACACTGTATATCATTCCAGGAAGATTCAGCCCTTCCACTCTTCATGAATTATTCAGCAGATTTTCAACTTGTTAAATCAAGAAGAAGAAAAAAAAAAGAAAAAGCCAAACCCTATCATGCTCCAGAAATACTCCAACTACACAGTCTGACTCTTTTCTCCCTGCCTTACCAGGCTTCTGGTTCTAACCCGTTTAAACAACTTTCATTTGAAATAAGGTTTCAAATCAGTATCAGTCACTTMTGTCTGAAATGCAATCTATTTACTGTCCAAACTTCTCTGCTGGATACTCACTTAAACAGATTTTTTTTTCTGATCTTATTTTTGTTAAGAGAAAGCTCAGTATTCTTGCAATCATAGTTCATTTTAGAGCTAGTCTATAATAACAATATGCTTTCCAAATTTAAATCTTTCAAGCACAATAAACAGACCAATCTTTGTAARGCAGTACTTACTTGAGGAAGCTGGTTCTCAATCTAAGTATTTTACTTGTCTTCATAAACCTCAGTCTGTCCTAACCCACAGGAAATCCTGCATTGCCAGCCTGCCAGGGGTGAACACCGGTGTTGGTGAGCATACAGATAACACAGAATCAGTGCAGCATTTGAAATGGTCTCACTCCAAAATTAGTTCCTACAGAGATGAGTGACAAGTCTTGAGGTGGACTAAAAACTGGTGGCATCTCCCAGATGGAGAATAATTAGTTGTGGCATTCTCCCAGGAACTCRACCCTGCTTTACTCAGACAAGGACAAAATTCTCACCTGGACAAGACTTAGTAAGAAACTCGGTACAAGAGTTTACGTTTACTTTCAAAAGCTTTTTAGATGTGGAATGCTGATTAATTTTGTGATGAGTTYAAGAAAAAAAGCTGCTTTTACAGGTAGGTTAGATGTAGGCTACAGAAGCAAGTGATTGCAGCTTATAAGGTGTCATCTGTACCAAAGACCTTCATAAGGCRTTCTTAGGTGTTGTTAAACTCCTCATGCTAACGAATCACAATACCAAAATAATGTCATAGGAGGTAGTTATAGTTGCAATGTACATTTTTTTTTCAAGTTAAAGAAGTTAATTTGTGTGGATTAATGGATGTTGCAATACAGCACATCTTTTATTTGACAGAAAGGCTCATGTTAGCAACTGACAGAAATATTGATCCAAAGGTGGATTCGTTACAAACAGGAATATCTGTGTTCACTTTAAATTAATTAGATGGCTCATGTGCTTAAGGCTTAAGACATACCTCCSTGATTTACTTGATCAGGCCCTTAATTAACATATTTTTTGCCTGCTGCACTTTACAGTGTAGATCTAATCAAGTGTCAAACCTTTTGAGGCCTTTCATTGTTTAGCTGTCAGTAAAGAACAGTTATTATAGAAACTAAAATCCTCCTCTTTCTGCAGCACTGTAATTGAAAAATAGTCAGTTTGTAACAAGAAATAGCTCCCTAACCAAAAAGCTTCATAAAGCATACTTTAGAAAGAGATGAGTGTTTCATAAGAAGATAGCCACAAAATAATATGCCCAGTAGATGCCTTTAGATTTATTTAATCCATCCATTCATGTTTTTAAAGATCTTGTTTGACACAACTTGTTCTCCCAGAACCAGATATATTTGTATATGAAGGAACAGAAATAATAAAGTTCAAGGWCAGGTGAACACAGGATATGAAATAAATTTCAGGCTATTTCTTAAAAGTGTCAAGGTTCTAAAAGATCTCCCCAACCTTTCACTGTCCCAGAATTTTTTGTTGTTGTTAAGWAGCTGATGGTTAAAGAATATTTATGAAAAAAATTAACTTATTTATGAAAAAAAAACACCAAACCCAAGAATAAAAAAACTGTTGCACATYAGCTGGTATTTATATATTTCATCTAATAAATCAATAGAAGTCTAGAAAAACACCAAGGGAAAGATTGGTTCCTATGTACTATAAAGCTTTGAATTAGCTGTTTTTCCTGTATATCATTTACTCTAAACATCCAATCACCATCCATTATTTATCCAAATTCAGTGGCAGAAGCCTTTTGTTGTTTTTTTTTTTTTAGCTCAGACTGTCACCAGAATTTGGGCAACTTTGAAAGCATCTGCTCAATTCCTGGCCTTCCTGTTCCTTTAGAGAGGCTGTAACAGTTATGTACTGTCCATATCATCTACTGCAAGAGAAGCTGAGAGGAATATTAAGCACTGCAGATAAATAATCATGCAATGCAACAAATTTGCTGAGAATCGGCAACAGAGTTAATTGTTAGAACTATTTGTGACTAATTTTTAATTGAAGGAAGGCCAAAAACCTAAAGAAAGCTAAATTGTTTAGATTCTTATGCACAGACCCTGCTGTTGGTGGGACTAAGAAACCTGTTGCACATGAAAAAAGACAAGGTGTAATATACCTTTAGCAAGGGGCCTCACCGAGGAAGGTTTCCTCAATTCAGACACAGCTTTGAAATTACTCTATTTTAAAATATAACCCCTACATCGTAATATCAACACATTAATTAAATATTTGGCATTATACAAAGCAAATACAAGAAGGCTAGTTAGAAAGATTGGTTAAAAAAGATACCCATCATGCCAATATCCTTTTGCAATGTCATCCTACTTTTAAGTACATTACATGGTTTAGAAGAAAGAAGGTGATTTTGAAGAGCCATCTTCAATTAAAGATCAAATAATCAAAAGATCTAAGAAAAAAAACAAGAAACAAAAAAGGTGGCTTATATAGGCATTTTATTATCAATTAGATGTATGTATATATATCTACATTTCAAAATTGATCAGTATTTTATTAAGGAAAACTATTTATAACAAAGTACAAGAGAAAATTCTTTATAAGAGGTAGAATTACCATTAATCTATAATTCATATACAGTATACTGTATATACATGCACACACATGCTACTTTGTATGTGCATATGTTACATATACGCAGTTRCAAAAAAGTATTGCATGTAAATTTTATTCAGTGATTTTGATTTTTATAGCTGCTCTCAGTATTGCTTTTTAACACTATCAGTACAATTTCCCATAGCACTTTGTGATCTGATCTTTTAAAAAATGATGTAGCACTTAGCTTCAGTTATAAAGCAAATGCAGGGTATTCACAGGTCTTCAGGAACAAAGACTGACAATTCAACCATGTTTTATTTCCAAGTTTCTGTAGATATTGGAAAAAAAAAMCAGGTAACAAATCTTTTGTTTTTGTCTTGTAGATTAGTGGCAAATCAAATCCTCACCACTGCTTATATTCTTTTCTTTACTACACACTTCTGGAGTTCTGAAAATTTTCCACATGATCTTTAGTACCTCCYGGTAACACCATTTCATCCAAGTCTCATTTCTAATCACATCTGACTAAACTGTATGTTACACAGAATAAAGAGCATCTTTACTATTGACAAAAATACTCTATGATACAGGAGTTACCTTAGCCACATGGTTAACATCATCTTTAAAGGTTTATGAAGCATCCAATTCATAGATGAAAATTTAATATACTTCCAACATTTATTGTGTGTTGCTAAGGAAATTGYACACCTACTGCCAAATGTAGGTTAAAAACATGCAAGTATGCAGTGCTACCTAATTCATTGTACATTTTTACCAACTTGAGTTTGGTCTGCCTTCATTTTTGCAGCATATATTGCATAGCAAAAGTTAACATTCTACACTGAAAACAAAACATAAATCCTTTAAGACAAATTGATAAAAGTATTAATTGTACAACTGAATCATTACATAAATTACTTCTCTGTTGCAATGAAAGATGTAATTACATCACATCTCAACAAATATTTTCCCTTTATTTTTCTTTCATAGTGTTTCCTTAAGAAACATTAGCAGCTAGAAGTGGAAAGCAGATTATGCATCAAGTGCTTTTAGTTGATATTGTAGTAACAAGTTTCTCACTAGTTAGACTTCCATCATGTTACCAGAAGATCAATTAGTAAAAACGTAAATTACATTAGGCTCTAAGCAATAATGATGGACCCATAAAACAAGAAAAATCTCTTGTTCATAAAAAAATTGGTATCTTTGATAAATATGTACAAATTCTTTAAAATACACATTTTTGTAGCAAAGTAGACACTAAATTAAAATATATTCTAATTTTTACATAATTTTATATATAGTTTACCAAAATATTCTCTTAATACATATTTTAACACTGTACATGAGTTAATAAATGAAACTCATTAGAAATATATTCAAACTGTCTCAACGTAAAAAATTTAAATTTGTATATAACATGGGGTAGTAATTTCCATAAATTCAACTTCAGTGCATCTGCAGTAGTCATTAACAATAAATTTCTGCATATTAAGAAGTCTTCTCTTGGTGTRGAGGTCTTAATACATCTCGTATTGAAGTTTCCTCCTTTTAGTGAGCAGCTTCTTTTCTTCAGTTCTTTTCCATCATAAAGGACATCGATCTGAAGAGCTCAGCAGGTTTCACCAAAGCAGCAAGGCTTTAGTACTGAACATACTCAGACTGAAGGGACTGTGCAGAGAAGAAAAACAGATTAAAACTCACTGGAGAGGTTTTATTTGTACATAACACGTATTTTTCATTTAAAGAGTAGARAAAGGACAGGAAAGAG